TTTATGGATTGAGCTATTGAGTGGTGGCCCAGAGGGGGTTAACCCTGACATGTACTCTTGGCGTTGTGGATTTATAGGGCTGTAAGCCATCTATCTACTTTGAGAATAGAGTTGGATAGATTGCTGGAAAATGTTCTCAAGGCAAGCTCACTGGTGGTCCTCAGCTGTGTGTCACATTTGATGTCATCCTCAGCTAAAAGACTTGAAACCTCTGCCGGATGCCAATGGGATCTAATGCATTAGACTAAAAGAGCAGGGTGTCAGAGAAACTTGGCTCACCTACCAAGTGGTCCCAGAGTGTCAGGGATACCACAAGTCCAATTCTGACTAGTCAGAAAAGCAAACTCTCAGAAGGAAGCAAAGTCACTGTGGTTGCCACCCCAGCTGACATGGCCTTCACTTAGGGAAAAGAACCCCACTGGGGAGAAAAGTAGGATAAAAACGTTGCCATCATTGAAATGTTGCCAAAACTTCCCTCCATCAGTGACCAGTGGCAAAGGTTATATAACCCCTCTGACCCCACTCCTTCTATAAAATGGGTACAAAATTTAAATTAGATGATACGTGTATAAAACAGAATGTGGCTATCTCTCATACTCCATAGTGACTTCTCAAATTCTCTTCTACTCTCTTTGCCATCCCATAGTCTCGTGAGTTACTTCTAGTAAGTGCTCACCCCAAACAGCAAATATTCCACAACCATCCTCTCCAACCCTATCCAGGAACTGGTGCAGTGCAAGGCAAGCTTTATGTACGTTTATTTGTCCCTCCAAAACTAACACAAAGCCTAAAATCTTTGTTAATGACAACCCTCACTGGGCACCCTCCAAAGGTAGAGCCAAACGCAAAGGCCAAAATGCTGTGAAAAACCAGCATGGCCACAGACATGCAAACTCAATTCAGAGTGCCAGTGCCTCCAAGAATGTGGTCTCCCTTTCTAATAAGAGCTGACTCACTGAAGTGAAGACCTGAAGAGAAATCTGGGGTGACTGGTCCCTGTGGCTGACTCACACACCCGTTATCCCTGGCAAAAGTGCTGGAAGACTAGAGCACACAAAGCTGGACAGTAAGCTACATGCTCATCAGTTAGTGCCAGGAAAACTTGCACTATTTAAATAGACCTCAATAAAACTCTGATGTTCCACAGAAGCGTGTCCACCATACCAAAGCACCATACCAAACCACAAACATAGCATCTGTTGATTACTTTTGTCAACTTGATAAAGCTATAGTCCTGTGAGAGACAGGAACCTCAAATATGAAAATACCTCTGTAAGACAAGGCTGCAGGCAAGCCTGTAGGGTATTTTCTTAATTAGTCATGTGGGAGGGCCCTGACAGTTGTGGGTAGTGTCATCCCTGTGCTGTAGATGCTATAAGAATGTCAGCTGAGCAAGCCAGTAAGCAGCACTCTTCCATGGTCTCTTCATTAACTCCTGCTTCCAGGTTGCCATCCAGTTTGAGTTCCTGCTTTGGCTTCCCTCATTGGACTATCATTCAGGATATATAAACCTTTCCTCCCAAGTTGATTTTGGTCATGATGTTTCATCGCAGGAATATTAACCCTAAGACACAGCTACTCTTCCTTGCTCCAAGTTGGGCTCCACATTAACAGAGACATCAAGCGTGAGGCATCTTGACCAGAAGACAACACAAGGAGAGCACTCCTCCACATCAGAGAAAGCATGTTCTTAAGCAGACACCGTATTCTTTCCAAGCAGACTCCTTAAATTTGACATTTTAAAACAGGCAAGAAAAAGGGAAGAGAATGTACTCCATGTTTAATGGAATTGGTTTTGACAACATCCAACTTCAATGATATCTTTTCTTAGAAACATGGCCCAAATCAAATGGTGGATTTCCTAACCTTAACCTGGATGCCATGTGACCACATGAAATAGCACAATTCAGGTCACAAATGTGAGAAAGGAAACAACCAGAACCCCAAAGACCTGCAGTAAAGGACTGAGTCAATGTGTGCTTATACATGTTGACAAGCAACCATTTGCCAAGAGGTAGAAACAAGAAAAGAGTGAAAACCTTTCTCACAAGGTCTTCCGTATGAATGATTTCAATGCAAACAACATGCCTAGCAGGTATTAATGAGCAGACCTTGTTCTCGGAGCATTTCAAGCAAAGTCAGTCCAAAAATAAAAAAGTGAAAAAATCCTTTCTCAGAAAACACTGCTTTTGAAATGCAGCAATAGAGATGAAACAGCTTTAACTGAATTATTCTGTCTTTCAACATCATAACTCTGAGTTATGTAAAGATAAATTCCAATCTGAAAGTTTGAAATACTAAAAACACATGCAACGTCCATAATTTCTTTCCAGTGAAGACTTTGAAAAGTTAAATGAAAGTGGGGGTATTTACAGCAGCACCCCATTTAAATTCTAAATCTATACTTTTCAGTTTGTCTAAAAATCTAGACTTCAACTTCTCACAAACACAATTAAGTTTGGCTAAATGAGGCATTGGGATGGGGGTGGGGGAGGTTATCCTGACAAAAACTACCGACTGACATTGAACTCTAATTTCATTGGTCCCAAAAGCTTACTTCCAGCTAATGGAATGGGTCACATTAGAATTAATTCTCTCAGAAAATTTAAGGTGACACGAATGTCCTTATTGCTCACATTCACACACGAGACAGTAATTTCAGTTTGTTCACACAAGCCTGTTATTAAATATATGCTGTAAAGTCCCTACTAACAGCTCAAGATCACTCTCATACCCACCCATACTTTTTGATCCTCTCCCCTCACTGTTCATACCAGCCTCCAATAGTCTCAACAATTATATCCCAATCCCAAACACACTTTGATTCAGCATGATTTATTTAGGGAAGGGGTTAAAATTTTAGATTTTAAATTTAAGACTTATTTTGAAAATGTTATTTAGCCAGCTATGCTCATAACTAAAAATTTTATTCTCCTGTTCACAAATTTTTATCAGCAGGAAACAAATTATCTGTAGACAAAGGCAACTAGGGTAATGGTCACTGGATTGAACACAAACCAACAACCATGAATCTGCATGTGAACTCTGTAGGACAATGTTTTAATTCAATCTCATGCTTTCTGAGATGTTCTGATGAGTCAAAATGAGAAACCTGAAGAAAACATTCCAAACACAAACTTTCTTCCATATAACCACAGAACAGCATTATCAGCTGAGGTGATGAGGCCTAAAATCTGCAGAGAAGACAAGTCTAGACCAGGCTCCTCAGAGGAAATATACCGACAGGATTCATCCCTGTGTAGGCTTTCCTAGAAAAACTGTTCCCCTTGCAAATGCTGTCACTGACAAAGTCATTGGTTCCAGAACACACCGAAGCTGATTTAAGTTGGAGGGTACAGGGTGACTAAGGTTGCAATGGTTTCTTGATGTAGCCAGTGAGGTAAATACTAAAGGTAGTCAGTCGTGAGGTAAACAGTGACAGTAATCAATCAGTCAGGCAGTCAGTGAAGTAAACAGTGAGGTAGACAGAAAGGCAGTAGACAGTGAGATGGTCAGTGACAACAGTAATGGCAATCAGTAAGGTAGGTAGGCAGTGAGCTAGTCAGCAGCAGACAGAGAAGGTAGTCAGTTTAGTATGGCAGTCATAGTGAGGTATTCAATATGCAGACAGACTCTGAGACAGTCAGCAGACGGTGAGATAGTGAGGTAAACAACTCCAGTCAGTCAGGTAAGCTGCGAAGGTAATCAGCAAGGTAAACAACGAGGCAGAAAATGAGGCAGGCAAAGAAGATACTGAGACAAACAGAGAAGGCAGTGAGGATGATGACGGACCAGTGAAGCAATCAGTGAAGTAGTCAGATGACAGTGAAGAAATCTAGTTGCTGAGCTAGTGAGGTAGACAGGCAGTAGAAAGGGTAGGTAGTCAGTGATGTAGACCCTGTCAGTAGCATAGACAAGGAGGATAGCCAGTGAGGTAGCCTGTCAGTGAGGTAGTCGATGAGAGTAAGATAGTGAGATAATCATAGGCAATCAGTGAGGTAGACAGTGAGGACAGTCAGCGAGCTAAAGAGTTAAGGCAGTCGGTGAGGCAGAGGTGTAAACAGTGAAGACATCAGTCAGTGAGATGGGCAGTAAGGTAGACAGTTAATGAGGCAGTCGGTGAGGTAGCCAGTCAGTGAGGTACTCTACGTGGTTAGACAGTTAAGGTTCTTTTGGCAAGTGGTTTTGAGAGATCCTCCTGACACACTAGGACTTTGGGGGGGGGGCGCATTGAGGATAGGCTTGCATCTTAGATATAAACAGAAATCACACATAGGCCTGGTCATTAAATACAGAATAGGTGCCCAAGTGGCTCAGTGATTTTCCAGAGGTGAGAGTTAACATCAAACGCTTGCTGCCATTAAGATACCATCTCGGTTTTTTTCCCCTGTCACTGCGAAAAGGGCACATCTATTCCAGAAAGGAAAAAAAAAAAAAAAAAGTCATTTTTTCCTTCAAGGAGGGCAGAGGTGTGGAGTCGGGGCTGGGGCTGCAGGAGGAGGAGGGGCGTGAAAGGAAGGAGTGCTTTAAGGAGAGGCTCTACACCGGCCACTGTAGACAGAAAACGGGTGGTGGGGGCGAAAGGAAATGTCTCTCAGGAAGGAGGGTGGGGGGACAAGGCCAAGTGCAACCAGCTGAAGGAAGCCAAGTCCCCTCCAGGATGCCAGCCTGGGTGCAGAGAGCGAGCGCTGGTTACCTTGGGACACGGGGAAAGAAAGGAAGGGGCAACCAGGATGGAGGTCTGCAGAGAAGAGGGAGGGCAGAGGCAGGGTCTCCTCCAAGTGCGACCCAGGGAAGGAGACCGGCAAACACAGGGCTCTAGGGCCTCCCCCGGGCCAAAAGGCGTGGCCAGGCATCTTATTGACCGTCGGGAGACGCTAGGACAGACAGCGCGCGTGGCTACCCCGCTCAGCCCAGCCCGGGCGGTCCGAGGGGGCCCGCGCGCGGCCGCAACCTTCCGCACCCCCCACCACCACACACAGACCCCGCAGTGCTCTTACCTCCACACCTGCCCCATCTGCAGCAGGTGGATGACCGACTGCCAGATCCACACGGAGAGGCGGCACAGACGCTGCGCCCCCGGGGTGGCCGAGCCCCCCGCACCCGGGCCGCCGCGGGCCGCGCCGTGGCCGTAGCCGGCCCCCATCATCGGGGGTCCCCGGCTGCTAAGCCCCTCCACGGCGCCCAGCCCGCCGCCCGTGTAGTCCTGCACGAACCAGCGGAAGCTCAGGCTCTGCACCAGCAGCGACGGCACCAGCACGAAGAACAGGGTCAGCCCGAAGCAGCCGTAGTCCCCCTTGCGGTAGTAGTCGAGGGCCAGCCACAGGTCGGTACCCACGTCCCCGAAGAACACCAGCAGCGCCAGCACGATCCACAGGCAGTCGAGCCACGGCCGCTCCACCTGCGGCGACGCGGGCTGCGGTCGGCCGGCCGAGGGCGTCGGGGGGTGGCGGCCGCTGGCTCCGGGCGGCTGCAGAGGCTGGTCCCCCCCGTCGGCGGCGGCGGCGCTGCGGCGCGGCTTCTTGCCCAGCAGCGAGCGCAGGCAGGCGGAGCGGCAGCCCCAGTAGCACGAGGAGGTGTTGCAGCAGTGGCAGATGTGCAGCGAGCTGCTCTCGCCGGGCTCGCTGCCGTCGCCGCCGCCGCAGCCGCCTCCCCCGGGCTCCCCGTCCTCCTCGCCGCTGCCCACCGCCTCGTCCAGGTTGTGCAGCTGGGCGAAGCCCACCCCCACGCCACCGCCATCGGATTTCGCCGCCATCTTGACTCTCTTCCCAGCTCCGGAGGTTGGGGGGGGAGGGACGGGTGGGGGGAGAAGGCAGGGACCGGGGAGGGGGGGAACGAATGGAGAGGAAGGGGGGCGGGGAGGAAGCGGGGGAGCAGACGAACGGGGGGAGTGGGCCAGGGAACCCCCTCCGCTTCCGGGCGGGTGGCGTCACTTCCGGGCGAGCCCCCCAATCGCACGGCGCCCGCAGCCTCCTGGCCCTACCCTGCCGGCCAAGATGGCCGCCCTCCTGTGCCTCAGCTGCTGGGCGGGGGACCGGGGGGTTCTCCCCGCCAGGGCTCCCCTTCCCCTCTTCCGTTGACCCCGAAACCCATCAGGTTGACCCCTCGGCGTTTCAGAATCCCGCTGGGCTGAGTGAGGCGGTCCAAAGTGTTCCCTGGAGGAGGCAGTGCCAGACGTTTTGGGGTCCCCTTCCTCTGCGTCGCAGCTCTCAGCTTAGCTCTGGGAGAAACGCCCCCAACACCCGGCCGGCTTCTGGCGGAGGGGCGGGACCTCTGAGGGAAGGGGCGGAGCTAGTGCAAAGCAGGTGATTACTTGTCACTTCCGGGAGATAGGATGACCTCATTGTGTAGTTAGACCCCCCCCCCCATAACTGTGTCTCACCTCTTGGGCTGTTTTCCTTTTTTTTCTCTTACATCCGTGTTATTTTCTTATCTTGAGGGAACTCCAAAAATAATTACATAAGTCAGTATAGATTCCACAAACTTACTGATTCTCACTTCTTTTAGGCACCTTTCCTCTCTATTGACCTCCTGATTTTCCTGTTACTTGATAACTTTCCCATCGTTTGTAGTAAAGTTTCCAATGTTTCCTCAAGAAAATTCTAGGAAAAAAAATCTAGCTAGAAATCAGCCTGGTTGCCTCCTTCACTGTGTAGCAAGAACTGAAAGGGCATCTTGTGACCTTGAGTGTTTTCTGCACAATCAAACATATTTCTACCAACCTTTTTTTTTTTTAAGTGTAATTTTAAAACTCTGTAAAGACCTTCATTTGAAAAAGAGCTTAAGCTGTATGTATCAATTACTTGTTCAGACAATTTGAATGTGTGAAATTTGTCTTTGGGAGTTTTTTGGGAGGTGCTAAGGCTCCGTGAGAAAACACGGCTTTAAGTGAGTGAAAATGTTATTAATGTGCTATATCATTAAAACAGGTGCAGAGGACACTATGTAAGCTTGGCTAACAAATTGCACAAGGGAGGCAGCACTGAATGGATTTGAATTACAAGGCTCTCTCGGTGGAAGACACAGCGAACTACTTGGTTGTTACTGATGAGTTGAAATGGGCATGTTGAAGAGAAAAAAAAGTGAAAAGAAAGCACTGGGATTTTCTTATCAACCTCTGTAGATTTTTGAACCCACTTTCCTTCCAGTAAAAATCTAATACTGGTAGTAACTTTTTTCAGGAAGCTAAGAAGACAAATAGGTAATATGCTTATAGCATTGAGGTTCTGTAGAAAAGTTACTTTGACAACTTTAGTAGTTGATTTGATGCATATGACATTTAACACTGTAGGAGCTACTTAGTTTTGAGAGTGATTGTGAAGGATGAGAATAGCCATTGTAGAACAATGTGTATTCATGAGTATGTATTCAAAAATAAACTCTATTAAGACTGCAAAACTGAAGAGGATTTTACCCATACATTAGAGAAAATGATTGTAAAAATCTACTTTTTGAAATAAACTACATAGCTGCATCTTTTACTTCTTACTGTAGTTTAATCCTTTTACTTTCTATGGTAATAAAACAGAGCTAACAGGTAAAAAGCATTTCTGCATATATATTGTTTCTTTACTGGATTTGGAATAATAACTGCTTAAATGCATGTGTTGAATACACTTGCTCAGACTTGAATTCTAGTTCCATTAAATTGGTAACATGAATAAACAAGATAATCTCTTTAAACCTTAGTTTTCACCTTTACATCATGTGAATAATAATACTTCCTCCTTTGAAAATGTATTCAATAATAATCCATTCAAAGCTCTCAACATGATACCACATAGATACTAGGCAATAAATAAATGGTAACTCTTTGTGTTATTATTGCCATTATTGTCACTGTTATGTTTGCATCATGCCAACACATATCTACTTAAACTCCATGAAATAGATTTGGGGGCTCTAATAAAAGAAATAATTTTGAAATACTTCCAGGAAACGAGTTCAATTAATTTGTACTTTTAAATATATTTTCTTTATTTAAACTGTGGGGCTATGAAATGGGATACAAAAGCAGGCAGTAATCGCATATTTATGATTCTTATTTCTCTGTGCCCTAAAAAAACAGAATCTTCTCATGAAATTAGCTAAGTAAATTACACTCCCTAAGGCTGACAAAAGAGCCTATGAGTCAAAAAGTGTCACAATTGAAATGTCAAGTAGATAAATAAGATTTGTTCAAGTGATTTCAACTTTTTAATTGCTGGCTCAAAAATTTTATCATTCTATTGTTTTTGGAAAGGGGAAATACATTTTCCAACCCAAAGAGTTCTAAAATTAAAGTCAGTTACAATGATAATAAACCCACCACAGAGACTTGCTGAAAGATTAACATGAATTTGGACCATTCTATGAATGGTACTTTTGTAACCTATAATAATTTTAGGTCAGTTAAATTTTCTGTGTATGTCTAGCACTTCTTGGTATTGAACACATTGGCACTAAATAGATATAGGAATTGATTTCTATCTTATGATGGAAATCTTCATAAAATCATCGGTGCATTACAGAGACATCTCAACCCTTTATTTAAATTATGCAGAGAAGGGTAAGTAAAAGTACCTCATTGGCCTAATTTCTATGTACAGGGGCTAGGTAATCTTTTAATTTGAGGTCTATTAATTTTCTATTTTGATACTGAGACTTGAACTCAAGGTCTCATACATGCTAAGCACATGCTCTACTAGTTAATCTTTCACCTAGTTAATCTTTCCAGTTCTAGTTAACCTTTTCTAGATAGCTTGGCTTTGAGACAGCCTTGTGCTAAGTGGCCACTCAGGCCTACTAAGTACCATTATTATTATGCTAGTGTGGCTTTTTTTCTCATCTTTTTCTTTTAACCTTTGCTTTCTGTAATTCAGTCAGTTAATGATTTGGTTCTATACTTCTAGTACTAAGTAGAATGAAAGGCTAGACAACACAGCATGTTCCAATTATATATATATAATCATCCTAAATACATTCTAAGACCTTGTATGAGTATAGTAAGGTAGTTTTAGTGCATAGAAGTTGTGACATAAATCCTGTTTGGAAGCCTTTGGGATTTTCTTCTCAATTCTTTGCTATTTCAGAAAGGCAAACAAGAAAGTTGGTGTTGAAGCCAGTATATATTAAACACTCACCTAAATATTGTTCCTTTTAAACTTTGCAGCAGTCCCAAAAGGCCCAGGAGTTCCTTCTCTATCATAATCAGTTCTGTTAAAAGACTTCTCCTAAGTCATATCCTTTGCCATCTATTCTTCCACTGCCCTGGTTAATCCCACTAATGCCACCCCCAAAGGACATCATGCCACTCACTATTAGTTATAGGAAGGACCCTGTTACACTACAGTGATGACATGCTTCTGGGCGACAGAACACTTGAATTCCAACATGGGGAGCAGGCCTCAGCAAAACCTCTTGGAGAGGCTTCTGCATGCATTCTTCACATGTTTGTAGCCTATGTAAGCTTCCTAACAGTAAGTATCCACCCCCTTATCGCTTCTGTGCCTTCTATTTTACTGACTTCTATAGAAATAGAACTTCTTTCAGAACTGCAGAGTAAAGTCATAGAGCCTAATATTTTGGCATTTTATGTCAAGAATTGATTTTTAGGCTGTAGTGATGACTCCACAGTTAAGAGCATTTGCTCTTACAGAAGACCCAGGTTTGTTCCCAGCACCCATACCAGGTAGTTCACAACTACCTATAATTGCTGTTCCAGGAGGTCTTGTGCCCTCTCCTGGCATCTGTGGGCACATGCACCCATGTGACAGACTCACACAGACAGACACATGTGATTGCATGCACGTGCGCGTGCTCATACACACACACGTGATTGCATGCACGTGTGCATGCTCATACACACACAGAGAGAGAGAGAGAGAGAGAGAGAGAGAGAGAGAGAGAGAGAGAAATAGAAAGCAAGAGGAGAACTGAAGTATTGTTGTTGGTGCAAAATCTACCTTCCAAATTTTGCAATTACCGTTTGAGTCAATAATCTTTTTTATAGAAGTTTATCCTATAGATAAATATACACATGTCAGAAAGTACAAATAGGGCTAGAGGTATGACTCAGCAGTTAAGAGCACTGAAAGCTCTTCTGAACATCCTGAGTTCAAGTCTTAACATTCACATGGTGACTCACAACTGCCTCTAACTCCACTTCCATAAGGTCTGATGACCTCTAAGGTCATGAGGCTTACACATGTTACACAGATATACATGAAGACAAAACACCCATGTATATAAAATATTTTACATTTTTTATTTTAAAAGATTTTTATCATAGAATATATTTTGAACATATTCTTTCCCTTCCCTCAAGTCCTCCCTGATCCTCCTCACTTTTCTACCCATCCAACTTCATTTTCTTTCTCTCATTATAAAAACAAAGACAAGAAAGAAACCACCAAACCATAACCAAAAAATGCACACTAACCTATCAAATTTCAAATTTTTGGCTTCATTAACATTGGCAAATGTGGTTTTCATCTCACAAAGTGGTGGCTGCTTAGTCCCATAACATTTATGACACTGTTACAGCAATTTATTACAGAGACACATGTAGACAAAACACCCATGCACAGAAAATAAACTTTTTAAAAGAAAGTATATTCATATAATTCATTCCTTCGTGTAACACTTTATAATCACATGAAATTATGAAGTAAAAAGACCCAAATGTCAATTCAAAGGAGGCAACTATTAGATATATTATGGTGTGTCTGTGACAGAATATGATGTGGTATTGGAAATGTCAGATTTTCCCTTTAGTTATATAGGATGAGTTTTATAATGTATTATACAAAGAGAAGAAAGTTCAATACACTACAACATGCTCCATTTTATGTAAGAATGCAAAAGATAATCACTTATTATCTGTTCCTGCTTGCTTATTTCTA